CGGGGGGAAAGCAGTCGGAGAAGAGGAAGAAGAAGAAGATGAATACTAGAAAAAAAAAATAAAAAAAATTGTTGCTTACCTGGCAGTGACGACGACGGGAATCAAGGCAGCGACGAAGATCATGGCGACGGCGAGGACCACGGCAGCGGCAAGATCACGGCAGCGGCAAGATCACGGCAGCAGCGGTAGTCACAGCAGCGATGAAGGTCTCGGCAATGACGAAGATCGCGGCGGCGATGGGGGAGCAAACTGCTCCGATACCAGTGTGACGAGCGCTAGGCTGAGGGAGACAGGGAGAGCCGAGGGAGAGGAGAGAGAGAGAGAGAGAATTAGAGCACACACACACACACACTCACTCGACACGACTGAGGGTCGGACACAGACATAGTGGCAAGGACACAAAGTCAAAGTCTTGGATTCCGAATGCCGAACAGGAGCAAGTCCCACTGAGTACGAGTACAGCAGCTCAAAACTGGTACCAGACTGGTCCCCGTACCGTACGGGGAGCCAGTATAAGTACCGGTGACACGCACGGTACCAGGGGCATTTCTGCAAAGGCCCCGAGGGGCAGAACTGAAAAATGTGGTATTTGAAAGTGGCGCCCGAATTGCAGCATGGCGCCAGTTGTCCAAAATCCTACGGTACCAAAGGAGGGGTTTGGGAAAAGTGTGCCAGGCCGAAAACGGGATGCAGCCGAAACAGCAAAAAGATAGAGCAGGGATCGAGCCCTGGCGAAGTTCGTAATAGGGTACCTCACCATGGCCGGAATGGCGCCCGGGGTGCCCGGCCGGGTGACCCCCCCGAGCAGGCACCCGGGTGCCTCTCGCACCAAGGCAGAAAAAGCCTCAAAACTTTTTCGTGCCGCCGCCCTACTCCAAACGTGCCAACTTTGTCCTTGGTGGTCGGGGCATTTTTTTGGGGGTCCCGTAGGTCCCGTTTTGTAGGTTTTTATTTCTTTTGGGGATTCTGGCCATTGATCTGTATATATCGATGGTGTGCGCTGATACGGGATTTGAATTCGCCCCCTCCCCCCCCCCCCCCCCCCCCCCCAACCCACAGAAATCAACATGCCTGAAAAAAAAAAGAGGCCGGATTTGGGCACTACTCCCAAAGCGCAGCAAGGTGTGGCGGTTCCAAAAAAAACAAAAGAAACTTGGTGGGTTTTTGGCATGCGCGGGGTACTCCGGGAAGGCGGGCCGCCCGGGCGCCCCGGGAAAGCTAGGGCAGTGTATCTTTCCATGTTCTAGCTCAAGATTCATTCTCATTCTGTAGTCGACAGAAGGAGAGAGGGTTGTGGTCAACTTCTATATGCACTTGCACTCAAATGTTCGGATGTTGTGCCCTCGACAAAATGGCAAAGAAATAAAACAAGGGCACCAAAGACAAAGAATATGGTGGTGTATCTTTCCAATTCCTACCTGAAGGTTCATTCCCTATTTGCTCATTGGGTGAGTACTGCAGGTGCGCTATGTAGCTGTAGTTGAATCTTTGGCTGTGGTCCCTCCCAAAAGATGACCCACGAATCGCACAACGACCCAAAAAACTGAATCGCAGCCATGAGAGAAAATCGCCTGGACAGTCCCCCCCCGGGACAGCATAGAAAAGTGGTGGCAGTTTGCGAAACGACGCGTGAGACTAAAGCACCACACCCGAAAAACATAACCACCGCGCGGACACTTCACTCCGGCCGCTTTGCGGGACTGGCGAGTGGCCCACGCGTTGCCCCGCCAGCGATTTTCGCTGGGCCCGCGGCGAAGCGTCATGCCGGGCCCTTTGCAGTTTTTAAGAGTAAAGCGCCGTGTTCGGGTTCGGTGACCGGACCTGAAAGTTCGGGACCGAACGCGAACCAGCACCGAAACTCTCCGAGTGCGAACACAAAAAAAAAAAAAAACATTAAGAAAAAAGTTCTCCAAAAAATCTGCAAAACATATATGTTATGTAAAATGCTAAATACAAAACTTTTGCCTGCGAGGTATGCTCAAATTCGTAACCAGACTCGAGTTAAGCTCCGAACATGTTCGGTGTGCTACACATGTATAGGGATGTGTATTTGAGTGATGCACCGTATAGCAATTTTATTCCTATTACCAGTGCTACCACCTCAAATGTGGAGGGAAAGTATACCTCTCATGCCGAACGTTCAGTGCCTCGACTGATATGGAAGTTTCGGTCAGTCCAACTCAATTTTAACCCAATCAATCAACCAAGTGATCAACCAATCAGTCAGCCAATCAATCAATCAATCAAAATCGAGAGATCAATCGACGATCAATGCAATCAGTGCAATCATGCCAATCAATGTGATCAATGCAATCAATGCAATGATGCGCTTAATGCAATCGATGCCATCAAATCAAATCAAATCAATCCATGAAATCATGAAATCAATCGCAGATGTGTTTGATCTTTCTTTTGTGACCTCCCCGATGGATGAAGGTGCTTGGCATCATTTCCCATCCGTGCAGGGGCGGCATCGCATGCTGGCAGGCACTTGTGTGCATGTGATTGCTGGCTGCCACTCCCCACCTCCCTCATTTCTTCTTCTTCTTCTTCTTCTTCTGCTTCTTCTTCTTCTTCTTCTTCTTCTTCTTCTTCTTCACACAATTCTCTTCGTCTTCGAAGACATGCAAACAGATAACAATTCACACTGGCGCCAAGCGCCCACCCAAAGCTCAGAGATATGGAAACCAAGAACACAGTTCAGATGCAAACTCGCGTTGTCAGGCTATGGCGCATCAGCGCCCGTACACCCAACTCTCGTCACTGTGTCCAACACCACTGTTCGCACGTACTCAACTCTGGATCACTCTGAATACCCCACGCACACGCACTCTGTATCACACACACACACACACACTAACCGCTACCTCTAACCTATGGCGGCTATGGCTGCTCGCTGCTACTACTATGCCTACTCTATCTTCTTTCAGCCCACTTCGACTTCGGGCGCTCTGTAGACCACCTCGCACAAGACGCAGGGGCAGCGCTTCCGCATGGCTTACGCAGCGAATGAATGAATGGCTGGGCGCTGCCTCTTGATTTATACTTCTGTAA